TGGGAGGGTTGGGAGGGGCAGGTGCTGTACCTGCAACCCCGCGCGCCATACAGAGACAGGAAGCCCAGGGGAGAAGAGAACAAGAGTGACAGAACAGAGGGAAGAAAGGTCGAAAGGAGAAACAGGGCCACAGGGAGGGATAGGTGCAGCAAGTAAAAAGAGAAGAAATAAAGAGGCAGTGAACAGAAAGAGTAGTTATCATCGCTAATAGTGGGACAAGAGACAGCTTTCAATAAAGTAAAAACAATACTTCTTTCAGAACCTTGGACAGTTCTCAGATTCATTTACTAAAGCTGCGTTCACGCCATGTCGTAATTACCGTAATTCCGAGATGACAACACGTGACATTCTACTCATAGCTGAATTATGTGTTTCTATGGCAACACTATCAACAACAAAGCCCTCACATGCTCCAGAACTCAACTTGTAATTAATAATTACAACTTGTAAACTCAGAATGTTCTGAGAGCTACAACTTGGACCAGTGACAGCTGCACCACCTGACCGCCGCGGGTTCATTTAGGCGCCAACTCAGAGTCCGAGGACATGGAAAGCTTTGAGTAAAATGTCACGTGTTGTCATCTCGGAATTACGGTAATTACAACATAGCGTGAACGCAGCATAATACTTAATTACAGGAATCTCACCGGGAAAGGCGGTGGGAGGGGCAGGGGTTGGCACGGCGATGGGCACGCCCACGCTTCCACTCCCACTGTTCTCTCTGCTGCTACTGCGACTGCTGGGATGACTGCCGCCGCTGCTGCCACTGCTGACACACACAAAACACATTGTGCAAGTTAAGGTCAATCGGCATTTGCCGGTTTTACTTCCATAACTTGATGCATTTCCGAGTCAAACAGGATAGGGAACTAGGGGGAAAAATTGTAGGGTGGGACTTCATTTTTGTCCTCAAATGCCGATGTACCAGAATGAAGCCAGACTGAATATTAGGGCTAAAAAACTGTTTGGTTTGCATTATTCAATAGACCGTCAACAGAAAAGAATAGTCATTTTAAAGGAAGAACATGTTATTACATTTCGTTTAAAGAATGAATAATTCACCATAAAGTGTGCATTAACAAGGTAACTAGCTGAACTAGCTAAAGAACCTCACATTCAGTTTGCACAATTCATTTGGTCCCTTAGCAAAAAAATAAAATAATTTTAGCACATTGTCAAAATTTCATTGACCAGGCAAATTAAGGAATCAATATTTGGCTATTTTCAGATTATCGGCTGATAACTACAGATTAAATAATTTAATCAGCCTGGCCGATATTTGGCCATATCCAGATTACCAAGAGATGACTAAAGGTAATAAAGGCAATACTTGGTCATTTTCAGATTAACTAGTGCTGGAATGATGAAATGGCCATGAAGAATAACCTCATATTCTACCATTTTCAGATCAGTTGATAATAAAAATGGCAGACTGATTTAAAAGCCTGGTCAATATTCTGATAATATTTGGCCACCGTCATATTATCAGCTAATACCAAGCATAAGAAGTACTTCCAGATTTGATCAGCTGACATTCATGCCCACTTAGCCAAATAACAGAAATAATTCCATCTTTTGTCAGTTATAAATCTAACAGCCTTGTCAAGACATAATGCACATTCTGTATTTAAAGCTTTTTAAGAGAATTTAATTTCAACAATTTTGCTTGGTTAACCATTAGTCAAACTACTGAGTTTTCTAAATGTCCCAATCGCTCCCACTTGATGATCAATTTCAGTCCAATTCCTGATTAATTGGAGTAAATTTACACTACTTTTCAAAAGTTTAGGGTCGAAAACAGCTAAAAACTGATCTGCTGCTTAATATTTCTGTGGAATCTGTGATACTTTTTTTCAGCATTCTTTGATAAACAAAGTTCAAGAGTTGAAACTAAAATCTTTTGTAACATTTTGAATGTTTTTCAACAGTAGTGTATTAATGTGAAGAGGTCAGATGCAAAAGCCTCTAAGTGCCGTCTGAAATTTTTTTCTAAAATGAGCATTTTTCTCAGGCTCCTATGTTTGTTTAGTTATTTCTCTTTAATGGCAATGCTATTAAAGTGAAATTACTGAACCTACACACAGGAGACTGAGAAAAATGCTCAATTTAGAAGAAAATCATCTGAACATCTTTGCATCTGAACTCTTCATGTATAGAATCAACAAAGAAAGATCTCTTCATACACATTTCACATGGTCATGAATTGAGGAATTGTGGGTGAGAATCTGAGAAGAGAAAGTGTTCTGTAAGAATGTGATTATGTGCTCTCTGTTTGTCCCGAGACTCTCAAAATCAGAGCGCTGAGAATGCAAACAGCAAAGAGATGAAGAGATACAGGTAAGAAAGACTGAAATAGAAAAAGACGGTGAGTGAAAGAGCAGGAAAGAGCTCTTCTTTAAGTAGGCTATTGCTGTCTGAACCCAAAAAAAGATCCAAGCAAGAGAGATAGAAAGCAAAGGAGAAGAAAAGAGAAAGTTAGTGAGTGACTATTACTTTGGCCGAGTCACACTGCGACAGACACCAAACAAAGACAGCTTAAAAACAGAACAACAGTGACAGGAAGGACAGACGGGAAAGGAAAAGAGGATGCGGAAAAAGAGGGTGAGAAAATGTGAGGGACCGTTTTTTCCTTTTCAAAGTTTATTATTTTAAGCCTGTCCAGGGGATAATGCTGCATGTGTGGAGTAAGCGTGTGTGTGTGTGAGTACCTGTACGTGCGGGTCCTCTGATTAACGGATGCAGTTCTAGCCGGGCTCTGCAGGGGTGGTGCGGTGTTTCGTGTTGGACTCGGCACATAGTCGTTAGGGACGACGGGTGGACGCACAGGCTCGAGCGTCCGGTAAGGGGAGTGCCGCCTGCCGAGGGGGGCGGGGTTAACATATTTTAATATCCACTAAGGGGTGGAGTCAAACATCACTGATGACAGACCCCAATATCTTGTGTAAAAATCCATTTAGAACATCACAACAGTACCGTAAAGCAAACCCTCATGAGTCATATCTAATTTATAGTTATTTGTAGCTCTGCGACGCAATTGCGGTGGGCGGTATAACCAAAATAGATCAAAGCATGGGTAATTTAGGCCATGTCCACACGTACACGGGTATTTTTATAAACTGAGTTTTTCCTTCTTCCGTTTTTAAAAATGAAGCACTGTCAAGAGCATGCCAAACCAACAGGTGGCGATATAATCTCAACCGTAAAGCCATGTTGGCCAATCAGAAGCCTGAAAAAAGTTTCCAGTAGGCGGAGATAACTACGTCACAAGCCAAAAACTCCGGTTTCGCTGTCTACACGATAACACTGCAACCGGAGTTTTTGAAAATCTTCACCCTGGCAGGAGTTTTCAAAAATGTTCAGTTTCAGTGACCTGGTGCTGCGTTTGCGTGTGGACGAATGGCCAAACCGCGTAGAAAAAGCTGTGGTTTTGAAAATAACCGCGTTCGTGTGGACAGGGCCTTAATGTCTGGCTCTATAAATAATATCAATATTTTAACAGTGTATGACAATACAGTTATTTTTACTTTACATTCAACACAAATAGTAATAGATTTAAATAATAAATAGTCACCTGACAATGCCTTAACATAATTTTACAAATGAAAAATACTTATTTAGAAGTAGACCAAAAATTTGCTTGACCAATACTTTTTACACTTTTCTACTTTTCAGTTAAATGTCACACCACTGTGCATTCAAACAGGAAAAAACAGTGTTTGTTCATTCTCAAGTGAGAAATGTGTAGCATTTTATCCAAAGTGTTGCACACAAAGAAAAATATTTTTTATTTAACATTGCTATTTGTTATTAATAATATTTTCTAAATGCACTTTTCTATTGTTTAGTTAATAAAAAACATGTATTATTACTATTATTAAGTTTATATAAAATTGCTGTATACATTACATATAAAAAGCAGAAATTAATAAGATACTTAAAAAATTCAGATACTTAAAAATAATCTGTTTTGTATTGATCATATAAAAAGCAATACTGGTTAATCTTTAGCTTCATCTAATTTGATTTTCTGCTTTTTATTTAGATGGATGCAAACCAAAAGACACGATTATAACAAATATCAGTTTCATCAAAAGTCAGTTTTTTGTACACAAAATAAGAAATAGTAATATA